TGGCATGTGATTGCAATGCTTATGAGAGGAGATTCAGTAACGTTGCACATCAGTGAAGCTTTTCGTGATAAGATTGCAGCTTCCGTGGCGTGCGCTCGCGGATGAGGTTGGCAAAGACCGAAAGAAAGACATGAGGGAGTGTTGGTTTGTATACATGCATTGTATCATTATTCATATGAATTATGACTGAATGAATGGCATTAGAAACACATGGGTGCATACATAGATGCATGCGGTACATGCATTATCGTACGCATGCATATGTATATATATACAAACACACACATACACACACACACACACACACACACACACACACACACACACATATATATATATATATATAATATATATATATATATTATATATATATATATATATATAATATATATTATATATATATATATATATATATTATATATATATATATATATATATATATATATATATATATATATATATATATATATATATATATATATACATATATATATATATATATATAATATATATATATATATATATATATATACTATATATATATATATATATATATATATATGTATATAATATATATATGTATATGTTTATACATATTTACACATACATAGAAAATATAGGCAATGATGCTTCAGTGAGAAACGAGGGACAAGTCCAGGGAGGAGGAATCTTCCTACGACGTCATCAAACTGATATTTTGATGACGTCTGATATTCGAAACAGTTACATGAAGGCGACAATTTAGGAACGGATGTCGTCAGAAATACTGTCCTCTTCTGATTACCTTTGTTCATCAAGTCACTCCACGTGATACCAAAAGCGCCATTTTGATTTAAGAAAATGGTTTCTCGGCTCTGGCCACGACCCGTCAGCAAAGGGCCCAATAGCACTCCCTTTGGCCATGGGAGAAACCAAGTATAAACCAATGTTGAACAAAATGGCCGGAAGTTGAAAATAGCCAGTACTTTTAGAGCTGTTAATGTAGCAGTATTAGTACTAGTAGAAGCAATAATGGTAATGGGAATAATAGTAGCATCATTGGCAGTAGTAGCGGGGGCGCGTATGCCTAATGCCCGGGTTTTGGTCCACACGCGAGCGTAATTCTCAGTGATCGACCAGATTGATGCTTGTTAATTATATACGCATAACTTCTTATATGTGCTCCACAGTGATAATCGTAATCTTGATAATGGGGGACTGGGTCATTTGTAGGAGTCGCAGCCAGTTTGTTTGAGCATACCTGATCTAGCGTATTTAATATCGCGTTTATGCTTTCAAAGTCCTGCCGGTTTTGTCTGTGTCCTTACACGGAATAGCGGAAATAACAGATGAAGCGACAAAAATACCGCACGGTACCTCTCCAAAGAATTACGAAATATACTTGTATACGTTAAAGCAAGATAAATGCGTCAGGTGACACATCCTCGTGCATGTGCATAAATTATACATAACGATTAATTGATATTCTATAATCACGAATATTCACTAAAAGCATATGTTGAGATTGCTTTTGTGATCTTTATTTGCGATGGTGGGTATAGAAAGGCACAAGTTATTTAATAATAAAGATTTACTCAAACTTTGACCGGCGTCGAGGACACAACCACGGAGGTGCTGGACAGAACCGTCGTCGACCAGACCGGCAGAAAGCTGCTCAGCACGGACGGAGATTTCTCGCCGGATGCGCCCTGCCCGCCGCTCTGCTTGTGGACGTCGGCGATGCTCTGGTTGAGCGTCATGCCCGACGGGTCGAAGATGAGCGAAGGGATGCTGTGCGAGGCCGTCCCAAACATCCTGGAGAAGTCCGGCCGCTGATGCATCGCCACCGGGACACACTCTGTGGTCCCGTCTTGGGCCTTCACGACGGAGTCCCTGAAGGCCATCTTCTGGAGCCGGAGGTTCTGCGTCCGCGTGTGGAGGACCAGGACTTCCTCCAGCCCGGTCTCCTCAATGACGGACGACCTGGCAGGGAACACGTCGAGGAGCCGCAGTTTCCAGGGCGTCGCCGTAGCCCTGCGGGTGGCGGTGGGCGCAGGCGGGGGGGTGGCCGTGGGCGTGAGTGGAGCGTTGATGCCTAGAAGTCTCACTGACGTCCCCGAAGTCTTTTCCGAGCTGGAGGACGGACTGCACGAAAACGGAACCTTCTCTTTCCTTGCCTAGAGAAAGAAATTATTAATATCCTTTCTCTAAAAAACACAAAAAATGGATAATCAACTATATTCACTAAAAATCAAAACCATACAACACATCAACACCAAACTTACCTGCGACCGCGCCCTTTGACAAAACAACAAACACAGACACGCAGCAGCGATCATCGTCAGCAAGACACACAAGACAAGCATGGTAATAATGGTTGCTGGGGATAACTCCATGGCGCTGTAGGATGGATAACACAACTAGAGAACAGCAGGTGAGTATATCCTTCTGAGACAGAGACCAGGTATGTGCCTCTGAGACTGAGACCAGGTATGTGCCTCCGAGACTGAGACGTCGAGTATATACACCTCGCTAATTAGAGGAACGCGGAAGGGGGGGGGGGGGGTCTGAAGTCACCGGTAAGGGGGTGAGGTAACCGAGGTTGGGTTTGAATCTGGCATTTTTGATCAATTGGTTAGTGTTGTAATTTGTAATTTTTATTGGTATATGTGTTATCATCTTTTAAAATCATTGTTATTTTTTTATCATTATTATATCTTTTTTTCATTATTTTTTTTATCATTATTTATATCTTTTTTATCATTATTATTTTTTTCATTATTATTATCTTTTTTATCATTATTATTATCTTTTTTCATTCTGTTATATTATCTTTTTAATTCATTATTATCTTTTATCATTATTATTTATATCATTATTATTATCTTTTTATATCATTATTATCTTTTTTATTTATTATCTTTTTATCATTATTATTATTTTATCTTTTATATTATTATTATTATCTTTTTTATCATATTTATTTATCTTTTATTATTATTATTATTATTTTTTATCATTATTATTATTATTTTTTATCATTATTATTATTATTTTTTATCATTATTATTATTATCTTTTTATCATTATTATTATTATCTTTTTATCATTATTATTATTATCTTTTTATCATTATTATTATTATCATCATTATTATTATTATCTTTTTATCATTATTATTATTATTTTTTATCATTATCTTTTTTATCATTATTTATTATTATTATCAATCATTATTATTATTATTTTTATCATATTATTATTATTATCATCATTTATCATTATATTTATTATTATTAATTATATATTATTATTATCATCATTATTTATTAATTATTATTATTATCATTATTATATCATTATTATTATTATTATTATTATTATTATTATTATTATTATTATTATTATTATTATTATTATTATTATTATTATTATTATTTATCATTAATTATTATTATTATTATTATTATTATTATTATTATCATTATATTATTATTATTATATTATTATTATTATTATTATTATTATTATTATTATTATTATTATTATTATTATTTATTATTATTATTATTATTATTATTATTTATTATTTATTATTAATTATTATTATTTATTATATATTATTATTATTATTATTATTATTATTATTATTATTATTATTGTTATTATTATTATTATATTATTATTATTATTATATTATTATTATTATTATTATTATTATTATTATTATTATTATTATTATTATTATTATTATTATTATTATTATTATTATCATTATTATTATTATTATCATTATTATCATTATCATTACTATTATATTATTATTATCATTATTATTATCATTATCATTACTATTAATTATTTCATTATCATTCTATTACTCATTATCATTATCATTATATTACTATTGATTATTTTCATTATCATTATCATTATCTATTATTTTTCATTATCATTATCAATATCATTGTTATCATTATTTTTCATCATGTTATTTTCATATCATTATCATCAGTTATTTTCATCATTATCATCGTTTTTATTATCATTATCATCATCTTTATTATCATTATCATCATTTTTATTATCATTATCATCATTTTTATTATCATTATCATAATTTTTATTATCATTATCATCATTTTTATTATCATTATCATCATTTTTATTATCATTATCATCATTTTTATTATCATTATCATCATTTTATTATCATTATCATCATTTTTATTATCATTATCATTTATTATCATTATCATCAATTTTCATATCATTTTATTATTCATTATCATCATTTTTATTATCATTATCATAATTTTACTATTATTATCATAATTTTTATTATTATTATAACCATTGTTTCTGTTATTTCTATCATAATTGTTTTATCATTATCATTGCTTTCTTATTTAATTTCAAATTCAAGTGATTTATTCATAAAATAGGTACAATAAATCTTCTAAAATGTAAAAAGATTAAAAAGAAAAAATCAGACTATATAATGTAACATTACAGAAATTTCCTCCTTAATCAACAACAAAAATAATTATCACGACACATTAATGATTTTCAATAATGGTCTGTTCCCTCAATTCCTTTGCTAGAGAGGTATGACAATAATAATAATAATAATAATAATTAATAATAATAATAATAATAATAATAATAATAATAATAATAATTAATAATAATAATAATAATAATAATAATAATAATAATAATAATAATAATAAATAATAATAATAATAATAATAATAATAATAATAATAATAATAATAAGAATAATAATAAATAATATATATAATAATAATGATAATAATAATAATAATAATAATAATAATAATAATAATAATAATATAATAATAATAATAATAATAATAATAATAATAATAATAATAATAATAATAATAATAATAATAATAATATAATAATATAATGATAATATAATAATATTAATGATGATGATAATAATATTAATAATGAATAATAATAATAATAATAATAATAATAATAATAATAATATAATAATAATAATAATGATAATAATAATACAGGCTCTTGTGACAAAAGTCTAATTGTGGCTTGTCTGCTTTTTGTGCGATCTCCATAATATTCCTATTACTAAAATCATATCTATAACATATTTGGTTAATATTTCTGGACGGGTATATGTAGGGATTGAAAAGATGGTGTTAAAAAAAGGAAACACATATTTGCTTTCATGTTTGAGTCTAGCTTTCATGGGAGTGGCCATGTGGCTATGGACGACCTGTTCTGGGCGGGGAGAACCTATGGTTCACACACACACACACACACACACACACACACACACACACACACACACACACACACACACACACACACACACACACACACACACACACACACACACACACACACACACACACACACACACACACACACACACACACACGCACACGCACGCACACGCACACACACGCACGCACGCACACACACACACTTCGCTGATTTTCTCCATGCCAAACACATTCTATCCATCTCCGCAGATTATATGATTCATCTGACGTCCATAGAAACGTACAATTTGCATAAAAAATGTAGAAAAAAATCCCTGCGTATCTCGTATGTTTTTGGGTTTTAGGTCAGTTATTATTTTTGTAAAAGCGATATGTCAATTATCGGAGAGAAAATGCTGTAGGTGCTTTTCACAATGATCAAAGTTTAAAGCTATACCGTTCCAAAACATATTGCATCAGCATATTTGAATGAGTAACGTCAGAAAATATTAAAGGTTTACATTTATTCGAATCAAATTTTAAGCCAAAACAGTCTGCATTTTCACCAGCAATATTTAATACAGATTGTATTGATCCTCTTGTAAGAGTGAAGAGTGTTACGTCATCAGCTTAAGTAAACACTCCAGCACATTTCCACCCTTGTGTTGCCATGGTGACCTGATAAATTAATGGTTCCACCTAAAGTGTGAATGATAACGATGATGATACTCCAACCCTGTTTACAAAACAATTGAAAAGGGAGAATTTAGACGTAATCTATTTCCAGAACGCTGTACATGGATTTTGTATACAGGGAGACCTCGCTGTACGGCGCTAGGAATCCCGTACAGTATTTGCAGTTTGTCTTCCATGTGTGTGTTCCTTTAGCCCCAGTTATGTTTTCGTTTGTCTTCCATGTTACTGTTATGCTTTCAGGCACGTCGTAGAAGTGGCTTGTTATGTTTTAGATTATGGTTTTAATACATGTATACATATTGCATTAGCATACGTGAGTGACTTCGGTGCTGAGCCTGATGAGGAGGGGACATACACTCAAGGAGTAACTGGAAGAGTCTGTCATACTGGACTAGATCAAATGTTTTGCAATAGTCGAGTAGAGAAACAAAGATATAATTTCCTTTAGACCTATAGCATTTTAGTGTTTCTACAACAATAAAACTACATAATGTAGTCGTAAATGAAGACGTGGGCAAATTGATAATCACATAATTTGAAAACATCACAAGCATCTATAATAATTTAATCCAGTAACGTGGCTGAGCTTGGCGCAATGGCCCAAAAATAATCAGAAACAAAATTTGTTTTTCTCCTGCCTTTTGCAATGGGTTTGATTACCACTTTATTAAAAGCTGAAACCATATTCTACCATTATAGAGAACAATATAGATAGTAACCCTCAATTCATGTGTTCTATTCATGCAAATGGGAACATTAATAAGTCCTTCCTTCAAAATACATGAGTAATTTCTAATAATTTAATGGCTACCTTAATCAAAACAACAGTGCTATTCAGTTACACACACATCTCAACATAGGAACAGGCTACAAGAGAAGAGAGAGAGAGAGAGAGAGAGAGAGAGAGAGAGAGAGAGAGAGAGAGAGAGAGAGAGAGAGAGAGAGAGAGAGAGAGAGAGAGAGAGAGAGAGAGAGAGAGAGAGAGGAGAGGGAGAGAGAGAGAAAAAGAGAGAGACAGAGAGAGGGGGGCAGTTTTTCATGGCACATTACTTGATCAACACTATATTATGCGCTGAGTTCCTGCTGTTTCGCATACTCACAGCCGGTACTGTTCTCTCAGATCGTGTACATTTGCTATAAGTAACTTTGACAGTTGTATAGATTATTGTATCTACATTGTCATTGTTATTATTATTGTTATTATTATTTATTATTATTATTATTATTATTATTATTATTATTATTATTATTATTATTATTATTATTATTATTATTATATATTATTATTATTATTATTATATATTTATATTATTATTATTATTATTTTTATTATTATTATTATATATATATATATATTATATATATATATATATATAAATTTTAATTATCATTATTATTTATTGTTATTGTTATTTTTTTATTGTTATTGTTATTGTTGTTGTTGTTGTTGTTGTTGTTGTTATTATCATTATTATTATTATTATTATTATTATTATTATTATTATTATATTATTATTATTTTATTATTATTATTATTATTGTTATTTTTTATTGTTATTGTTGTTGC